ACCGCATCAACAAGTACCACAACATCACCTCTAACAACTACGACAATGCCAAGTTCAGCGCCTTCTTCGGTGACTACGGTCTCAACAACATCGTTGCCCACGACTACTACAACCACGCCTTCGACTACCGCACCAACAAGCACCACCATACTGCCTTCTACAACTGCCACAACGCCAAGTTCAGCTCCTTCTTCGGTGACTACGGTCTCAACAACATCGTTGCCCACGACTACTACAACCACGCCTTCGACACCGCACCAACAAGCACCACCATACTGCCTTCTACAACTGCCACAACGCCAAGTTCAGCTCCTTCTTCGGTGACCACGGTCCCAACAACAACGCCATTGTCAACAACCACCATAACTGCATCCACGAGCACCGCATCAACAAGTACCACAACGTTGCCTTCTACAACTACGACAATGCCAAGTTCAGTGCCATCTTCGGTGACCACGGTCTCAACAACATCGTTGCCCACGACTACTGCAGCGACTTCCACGAGCACCGCATCAACAAGTACCACAACGTTGCCTTCTACAACTACCACAACGCCAAGTTCAGTTCCTTCTTCGGTGACCACGGTCCCAACAACAACGCCATTGTCAACAACCACCATAACTGCATCCACGAGCACCGCATCAACAAGTACCACAACGTTGTCTTCTACAACTACGACAATTCCAAGTTCAGCTCCTCTTCGGTGACCACGGTCTCAACAACAACGCCATTGTCAACAACTACTACAGCCAGTTCCACGAACACTGCATCAGCAAGCACCACCACACTGCCGAATTCGACTAACACAATGTTAAGCTCGAACAGGCGCAGAACTTGTGAACCGAAACTAGTAAAGCAGTGATGGTACAAAATGCCCCCCGTTGCTGAACAGCGCCGGAAACTTGTGAACCGAAACTAGTAAAGCAGTAATGGTACAAAATGCCCCCCGTTGCCTGAACAGCGCCGGATTACGCTCAGAGCGTGGGCAAAGCCTCGTAGAGACTGCTCGTTTTGCAAGGTAACTAAGGCGGTTCTGACCGTCTGCGCTCTAATTCTGAGCTGAAAACCAGCAGAGAGCCGCTCTGGCTGCATTCTGCTAATATCCTGATCCCGATCAGTACCTACACGTTTACTCGTAAGCATTTCCTTGACCTCCCATTCTCCTACAATGTGTGAACATGGCATAATACACCCAAAACATAAATGAGAGCGTTGACACGTTCATAGAGAGTATTCATAGCGTCTCTGCGTGTCTCCCCGAGCCAGGTCCCTCATTAAATGTTCTTTCGTGCGTTTAAATGCTCTGACGACTCTTATGCGTTATACAGGGGGGATCCAAAAAAGACACTTTTCTTCCTCGACTTTCGAGGCGATATAAGTTACACTTTATTAAATTCTGATTGGACATTTCCACCATCATATTCAACAACACATTGTACACTATCACGAACTCCGCCACAGCCTTCTGGACGAGGCCATCGAGAGATTCTGCCACGCGACCGTGATTCGGTGCCTGAGTTCAGCGAGGTCGTTGATTTCTCCGCCACTGTAGACCACCCTGTTGAGCTCCGTCCCGAACCCGGTAATCGCGAGGGTTCAGAAAAGTTGACACTGGGCAAGAGTTTTTCCAACACTCTTCGATTCCATGTGCTGGCACCCAATCCTGTAGCAGTACGAAGTTTCCAAGATGGTACAGGCGACGACATGAAGGCAGGATATTCTCCTCGAGTTGGTCGATGTAACCGTCAGCGTTCACTTTTAGTCCGATCCGCGGAGAAAATATCTGTCTTCTCATTCCAGGAACGCCTTGGCGATGCGGTGAAGATGATATCCTGGGCCTATAGCGACGTCGGAGCTGCTCGATGTTGGAGGTCTTCCAGATCAAGAGTGCCGGTCCCAGGTAGCTGGTGACTACAAGAAGTTTCGCAGCTGTTTGGAGGTGACGTGAATTCCATAGGCCTTCTCCAGTCAGGCTGCGATTGGAGATGGCTTCATATTTTGGTGTACATGAAGGTGATGGGCGAGAGCCTGCTCCTGCTTATCGAGGAACATCTTGGGTATCTTCCGCCCTGGTACTCGTATCCACGTCTTCTGTCTGGGCTGCGAAAACTTTGCTGATATGTGACTCGGTCAAAGTCGATCACATGTCACTAAAGTCAGTTAAAGTGGTCTTTTTTTTTTTTGTTCCCTCCCTGCATGTCCACGTCATCCAAACGTACCTGCGCTCCTGGGCACTGGAGACGCAGAGCGCTGTCCAGTGGACCATTAAGATCCATTCACCCAAATTCATAACTCTCGTGTCTTATGCCATGTTCACACTCTGTAGGAGAATGGGAGATGAGAAGAATGCACACAGAGTAAAGCATAAGTATTGATCTGGCAAATCAGAATAGTAGCAGAATGCACGCCTGAGGACTAGGTGGAATTCCACCGCGCTAGCAGAAGAGAATTGAGAGTAGGAATTGAGATCAGCTAACTCATCCTTTATCGAGCATTCTCCTCCTCTTCTGTACCCCTTTTCCCAGATTGAAACCTTTACTTCCCGTTGTGAGCATTCTACATTTCTCCAAAGCCGAAACTTATGAGCATGACCTTAACAAAAGGTCCTGAAAGAGCGCAGCGTTGTATTCTTGGTGGGTGTGTAGTGGCCATCACAGAAGCAGAGGCTACTCTGCCTTTGGCGCTGTCAGGGGCATAGTTCACATTCTGCGCTCTGTGATGTCATTCCTGAAGATGACTCCTTTGTTCACTTTCCCCCGTACCGCAATCCTACCCTTCTCACCAGGACACATCATCGTTGGGGATCCCAGAGAGTTGATCGGTGGCTGGGGGGCGGGAAGGGGGGATGAAGGTCGTAATTCACCTGAGAAAAATTTCTTCAATTGTGTATTTTCCTTGTTTCACGGACGCCATCAAAGGGGAGGAAGGTGGCGTTCGCTCACTGTCGAAAGACAGATGCACCACCCCCTCCCCGCTCCACAGTAACAGGGGGGAAGACGTCGCATCAACAACCCCTAAGAGAGGGAAGCCCACCGAATCGACAAAAGTCCCCGAACATTCTGACGCAACTTCACAGCGAACCTAGGCTAAGCCTTATAAGCGCGCGGCATAACGTTTTTCCTCTCAGCACGTTTTTCTTTTTTTTTCCTTGGATGAAGTGATGAGGGGCAGGCACCACCAGCGTCGTTGGGCCAGAATTCCCGTGAGGGACGGGGGGGGGTCCTGGTTATTCGGAGAGAGAGGTCGTTATATCGTAGGTAAAGCAGTACAGGAGGAAAGCTAGCAAAAGATAAAGAAGTCAGAGCCTTCTGAACCAGTCACACGCAGTGCACATCATTAGTTGGGGATTTTGTTGAGTCCGTACGACCCCTCCCCCTCTTGAGTTGCTTGGTACGACCCCTCAACCTTATTCCTTCCTCTGATACGATCGAGCTGCCGAGAGGGAGGGTGGGGAGGGGGGGGGGGCAACTTCCTACCGCTTCTCCACCCCGAATTTCCCGGAAAATGTCCTACTTTTCCCCCCAAAATTTTGCTGTCAAGTGGAGGGAAGGGGGTGGGTACATAGCACACGCGAATTGGGGCAAGTAGACCCTCTCCCTCTCCTAACAACGAGGCGAACAATAAGACTCTCTTATAGTGAAACAAGAAAAATCAACCATCAAAACTTTTTCTCAGACCAAATACGACGCCCCTTCTCCCGCTGTGACGTAATGATCCGCTCCTGTTGGAGAATCCCTAACGATGATGTCCTGATCACACTTGCTTGCACGGACAAGGCTTATGCTAAGCTGCACCTTTTAAGCAGCTGAGCATGAGCGTCGGACGCAAGATGCCTACAGATAAGAAATCAAACCATGGCAACTAAACTGTTCGACACGTTGGCAAAGATAACGGTAGCGAGCCTAGAGCACTAGGGGGTGCCTTCCCCTCACGAATACCTACAGCATACAGCCTTTAATTGGACGAGATACACTAATGATTCTCATTGAATTTTCTGATGGTTCAAGCTCAATGTTTCGTGCTTCAAAACTCAAACCAGCCGACCTTCAGAGAGCCTTAAGAATTTCGGAAAGCAGCAATACATTCCACTCCCTGATTATGCTTTTTTTGCAAGAAGAAAAAGTTGCGTGCTGGAGAGGTCACAGGCTAAGCCTAACCACCTGCGTGTGTTTTTTGAATTTTCCCATCAAAACCCATCAAGGATGTTTCTTGAACCGCAGAATATTAAGAGGAAATTCAACCGCACGCATCAGGAATAGACAGGGTGCAGCATCGCGATGTGTGAAATGGCGGTGTCAGCAAAACCCCTCCCTTCCCCGCCTCGAACTCCCTCTACTGGAGCAATCCCCTACCCTATCCTACCTGAAATCTTCCTGAGTGTCCCAATTTTCTACCGATTCGCCCAGCTTCCCAGAATTTTCTCACCTTCTCGCAAAAAAACTTGGTCCAAGTAGGGGGAGGGGTGGAAGTGAGGGAGTGTGGGAAAATATTCCTCAGTCAACCACCAGAAGCAGCTATCAGAAACGGTATTTGTAACAACCCAAAAAAGAAATTTTTCTCGCGGCTCAGAAAAGCTTTCCTGGAAAGCTGATATGACCCTCCCCCTAATCGGTTTCTGCCAACGTTGCTGTTCTCGAGGCGGTTCAGTGGAACGTTTATTGAATCACAAGGGAAAAAGCCCATCTAATCGACCACTCAAAGCCTTATATATTGCTTATTGACGAATTGATAAACATTACACAAAAGAGCGCTGGGAAATACATGATAATAAATCTAAACAATGCTAAGCAATGGAAAGCCGCGGTAGACCGCGACAGTTGCTGTACTGGGAACAGATGGCTAATCCGTTACGCTTCTCCAGGGTGAGTTCCCATTGACGCGCACTACTTCCAACGAGTCGAACTTATGCGCAGCAACATACTTATTTTCACTGAAGCCATATCTAGATGGATTCCGCTCCCGGGCCAAGTCACAGTCAAAAAATCGACAAAGAGCCAGTATTGATAAGATTTCCCGGATCGATTTGCGAAAGTTTCCGGTGAATTCCAGAAAATTTTTCTTACGAGATTGAGTGAGGTGAGTAAGTGTGAGTGTGAGTGGACAAGAATACAAAGAATGTACCGAGAGAACATAAGTGACGAAAATTTGAACGAACCTGTCTATATGCTTGTGACCTGGTTATGGCGGCCCCGATGTTACGACGACGAGGCGTTGCATTAGAAGATAAGGACCTATTCGCTGATATTGGCACATTTTTTACGTCCACGGCGGGTAGGATCAGTTTTCAGGATTTTCACGCATACTACTTCAATACTTATTCAACCAGGACACGTCCTGCCGCTGAGGAAAAATTTCGAAAAATACAACCTCCTTCCAAATTTCGCCCTCTGCTACGATCCCTTCCCCATCTTCCAATTCTTCTCCAGCCTCCTGCCACATTTTCAGGAATTCCCGAAAATTACCCTGGAAATTTCCTAGTTTTTCCCCAAAACCTTGCCGTGGAAGGGGGTTTCAACTTGAAAATTCGTCTCAATGACATACGACCTCCTCTCTCCCAAAAACGAGAAAGTTCAACCCCCCCCCGACAATGTCGTTACCGCCTGTGAAGAGGAAAAATCAGCTATGAAAAGGTTATCGCCTGTGAAGAGGAAAAATCAGCTATAAAAATTTTTTCGTCCGACCAAGTACGACCCCTCCGTCCAGCAAAAAATACGACACCCTTCCCCTACCCCGCAGGGCATTCCCCAACGCAGGAAGTGCCTTGTTAATCACACCTTCTCATTGATCGTCCGATTTTTCGACAGCGCAAGGTGTTCGCTGACTGAACGATTCCATAGTGAAATAATATTTACTATCGGAATATAACCTTTGCGATACTTTTTTGGAATGAGGACTTGAAGCGGCAGTTGCGAAGACCGTTGTAGACTTATTAAAAAAATAGAGAAAAGGGAACTAGTAAACTGCACATCCAAGATCAAACTATGGGTAGACTCCTGCCCTAGCGTTATGATGCTTTTTAAGCTTGAAAATTTGCACAAAACCTCGGCTGACCCCTTCAACAAAGGACTTCTTGAAACACGTTTGAACCCTGTATTCAACAGGAACATAAATGAGAGTCAGAATCGTCCAAAATTATAGGAAAAAGAGCCTGAGCCCTTAAAAAAATTTCCACAAAGTATCTCACC